GATTAATTAAATGTATGCATATTATATCTATTCTTTTTTATGTTTTATTTTCAGTGAAATCATCTTCCACCGTTTCACCGTCAAGATCTTATATAAATTGTGATAAATGTAAAATTGAGATACCTAGACATGAATACAGATATCATAAACGAACTAATATCCATAAATCGAATTGTTTGATAAAATCAGAGTTTGAACATATTGATATAATAGCTACAGCATTTAAAAATAGAATAATGACTTATCGCTTAAACCCATCCATAGAAGACGAGTACCTCCTACCAGAGGCGTTCTTGGATGGTAAGCGAGATGATGTTTTTAAACTAGTTGAGCTATCATTAATAAAGAATACATGTATTAAAGTTAACTTTGAGCTGTTTGCTTATTTCATTTTACCTAAATCAGGTGAGCAACAGCTGAAGTCGTTTAATACAAAATATGAAGTTATTTATAAAAGTACTGATTTTGATGAAATTTATTTGAATGTAAGAGAGACTTTCAAGATGAAATTAACTGAATTTGAGCACTGTGAATCTGGGTGGTCTTTAACATCGTTGAGTCATTTAGAAATAAATATAAATAAGTATTCTCCTATGAGAGGTGGATCTTACATAGAATTACCAGAAGTTATTAAGAAAACAAAGAGCTGTATTAATATACAAAATAACGATGAATATTGTTTTTTATGGAGCATATTAGCAGCATTATTTCCAGTCAAAAATAATGTCTGTAGGACAAGCTCTTATCCTCATTTTAGTACGATATTTAATATAACAGGGATGTCATTCCCGCTATCACCTAAAGATATCAGATTATTTGAAAATAATAACAGTGATTTAAGTATTAATATTTATGGATTGGATAAACATTTCAATGTAACTGGCCCCCTATATACGACAAATTTTAGGAGAGATAAACATATTAATTTATTGTATTACGAAAAAGAAAACAGAGCTCATTATTGTTTAATAAAAAACCTATTACGCTTAGTGAGACGTCAAGTTTCAAAACATAAAGGTCGAATGTATTTATGTGAGACATGTTTGCAATTTTTTACTAGTGAAACAAAATTCCATTCTCATGCATGTTCTAAAATTATAACTTTATTACCAGATAAAAACAGTATGCTGCAATTTAA